AATCCCCTTACAATTAACCTGAACCCCTAGAATGCACACTTTTGGATGCCAATTGTTTGGTAAAGCAAAAGCATTGCAAATAGGTTGCATGACTTCTGACCAAAATGGGAGCTTAACTAAATAAATAATAAGAAACAATGTGGCTTTAGAGCAGTGGTTCTCAACCTGTGGGTCGGGACCCCCTCGGGGGTCGAATGATGATTTGCCAGGGGTCGCCTAGTGGCTCTCGGCCGCCGGGAGAGAAACACTTTCTCCCGGAAAGGTCAGGACCTTTCTCTGCTCTGTTTTTTTTTTTAAATCGGGGGCAGCCGTAAGTCAGATACCCTTTTGGGTATTCTGCATTATACTATGTACGAATCTATGCAAAATTCAAAATAAAGAAAACATGTTTTAAAAAAAAAAAAAACTTTCTCCAGGGTTAGAGCAGAGTAAACCTTTCTCTGCTCTGTTTTTTTTTTTCTGACATCTGGGCCGCAGTCAGTAAGAAAAAAAAACCACCATAGGAATGCATAGCTAGATTCCTATTGGCTATTTCACTTTGCAAAAGCCAATAGCAAACTAGCTATTGCACCCGCCCCCTGATGCTACCAATCAGCAGAGGGGGACCTGAAGTTCTCCATCAGGTCCCCTTCTAGTGATTGACAGCAGCAGAGGGCGGGTGCAATATGTATGTATTCAAGCAAAAAAATATGTAAAACACACCTCTAGCTATGCGTTCCATTTTCCCGGTCCGCAGCTGCAGAGATCGGGAAATGTCTCAGTGCCTGTGATTGGCACTGCACACTGTCAGCTTCCTGGCGGGCTCGACACGTGGAGCTGCGAACACGCCCGAGCCCATCCCTATCAGTGACAGTACTGCAGAGTATGTACCTCATATGTTATATAGCCACACACATTAAATCAAATTCTTCTAGTTCCAGCTGCAGAGCCCGGTCCTGTCTTTGCCTATAGCAGTGGTTCTCAACCTGTGGGTCGCTGTGCAAGGTGAGAGTCCTCCTCAGCTCTCTCCTAGCGCAGCAGTGTCAGTTCTCCTGCCACGCCTCCAGATGTCGCTGCAGCAGCCGCATCATCCCTAAATTTTACCTTTGGGGGTCACCACAACTTGGCAAATGTTACCAAGGGGTCCCGGCCCTAGAAAGGTTGAGAACCACTGCTTCAGAGGCTTATTCCAGTGAAGTAAAACACACGCATTACCGCAACACTTGCCAATGCAGCATGCATTATTTACATTCCCAATCCACAATTTGGCTGTGCTGCAATGCACCAAAGCACATGATGTGTGTTGCAATGTTCTGTGCTGGCAAACAATGCAGTATGCACTCAATTTTCATGCATTGAGGTGCATTATACAAAAATGCATGTGCTGCAGCATAGTGCATTTTGGTGTGAAGCCCTAGAACTCTAACCTTTACAGAAGAACTCCAGAAATCTCAAAATTAACCCTTGCAGTTAGGATACCCAACGGTTAACTGCTCATTTTGGTCTAAGGGCTAAAAAAAAAAAGAAAATGTACATACCTGATCCTCGGTGCTACTTGGCTGCTAGACCAGTCCCCTCTGCCTCTTCTCCCTTAGGCTCTAGTGTTCTAAGGACCAATAACATGTAAAGGTGTCCATTGACGGGAAACTGATCCTCAGGCTTAATCTGACTGTTCGGGTGTGTTTGGTGGAGAGAGGGAAGAGCCAGTGTTGATTTAATCGACTAAAATGTTTCGTCATAGTTTTCGTCATCTGCATGTTTTCACTGATGAAAACTAAATAAAAACGAAGTTAATAGGACTAAAACCATGACAAAAACACACCGCAATCCTCTCCACTGGAGATTTCGGCGGCAAAAGTACTGTATATACTCGAGTATAAGCCGTCCCGAATATAAGCCGAGGTACCTAATTTTACCACAAAAAACTGGGGAAAAGTATTGACTCGAATATAAGCCGAGGGTGGGAAATGAGGCAGCTACTGGTAGATAGATACCAATAAAATTACATGAATATTTATTTAAAAGAAAAATAACCTAGCTCTGTAAGTGGAAAAGGGGGTACAGGGCTACATATCATGTACTACGGATCATTTAACCCATTCATATTAGCAGAGGATAATTGTAAATCTATTGTTCAGTGCATTCTATATGTAGTATATACTGCTAATACAGTGCAGACAATACATTTACAATTATACTAACATGAATGTATTAAATGATCTGTATGTAGCCCTGTACTATGGATCATTTAACCCATTCATATTAGCAGAGGATAATTGTAAATCTATTGTTCAGTGCATTCTATATGTAGTATATACTGCTAATACAGTGCAGACAATACATTTACAATTATACTAACATGAATGTATTAAATGATCTGTATGTAGCCCTGTACTATGGATCATTTAACCCATTCATATTAGCAGAGGATAATTGTAAATCTATTGTTCAGTGCATTCTATATGTAGTATATAGTACATGTACATATAGAGTGCCTGCAACAATACATTTACAATGATCCTCTGCTAACATGAATGGGTTAAATGATCCGTAGTACATGATATGTAGCCCTGTACCCCCTTTTCCACTTACAGAGCTAGGTTATTTTTCTTTTAAATAAATATTCATGTAATTTTATTGGTATCTATCTACCAGTAGCTGCCTCATTTCCCACCCTCGGCTTATATTCGAGTCAATACTTTTCCCCAGTTTTTTGTGGTAAAATTAGGTACCTCGGCTTATATTCGGGACGGCTTATACTCGAGTATATACGGTAAACTAAAACCAAAAGAAATATGCATTTTAGTCTTAGTCGCATTTTAGTTATCTGAATTTTTTTAGTTTCAGTTCAGTTTTGTCGCCTAAATCTCCAGCCGAGAAAACCGCACCGTACTCCCGTCATAGTTCTAGTCCCATAAACTTAGCTTTCATTTTTTTTTTTCTTCAAATTCTTTATTTATAAAGGTAAGCAAGGCACACACCACAGATACAGCCAAGTACAGGATAGGCGGAGTCCTCCGCAGTTACATTCACAGAAAGCACACACCATTGGCAATCAAGTAGATATAGTGCAACAATAATCTCAAACATATATTGTGGGGCCCCAGCAATACCTTGTGAGTTTTCCATATTTTTAACAGATACAACCGTGTAGTAGCCGGTGATAACATCCATTCACCAACCACTCAACGAACAGAGAACATGCAGCAGTACTGCTGCAAAGAGTAGACTAAAAGGAAAACCTTAGCCAAAGGAAAGGACAGAAGAAAAAAAAATACTGAGATAGACTAGAGAGAGAGAGCAGCACACTTCATCTCCCCCAACCCCGCACACCCTGAGCCTGGAGCTGATGAGGAGCGGTTCTCTCCCGTCAGGCGGGCTGCGCACTCAGGTTAAACGTGCCCTGGAGTACTACTGTGGTTCGAAACTGGATCCATGTCGCCCACGTAAGCACAAATTTGTCCTGTGTGTCCCGCAGGGATGAGGTCAGGTCCTCCATCGATTTAATCTCCTCCACCCTCCGCAGCCACATTGCAATTGTAGGGGGCTGTGAGCTCTTCCACTGGGCGGGGACACAGGCCCTCGCTGCATTAATCAGGTGGATCACCAAGGAGCGATTGTATGCTTTCCGTGAAAGCGGTGCAAGGTGAAGGAGAAAGACCGAAGGAGTAAACGGCAGGTCCAATCCCGTTATCCTCCGTATTAGGTCAGCCACCTTGTGCCAGAATGGTTGGATCAGTGGGCAGTCCCAGAAAATATGTTTAAGGGTTCCTACAGTATCGTCGCATCTCCAACACATGGGTGAAGATGCTGGGTACATGCGGTGGAGGACTGTTGGGACCCTGTACCACCTAGTCAGCAGCTTGTAACCCGCTTCTTGATACCTGTTGGCTATAGAAGACTTAGTGGCAAAGTATTACATTTGCTCGATCTGTGGAGGGGTAAGCTCAATGTCCAGATCCGCTGCCCATTGTCTGATAAAGTATGGCGGTTGGTCAGTCGGCTGAGCTCGCAGACTGCCGACCAGTACGGACAGGGTATGTGTGGTCGGGTTGGCTTTCAGGCATACATTTTCAAATTCTGTCAGTGGTCTGAGCAACGGGCTCTGGTCCCCACCAGAACGCAGGTAGTGGCCTATCTGTAGAGCCTGCCAAGGACTGAGGACGGGCTCTACCCTACTCTGGATCTGCAAAGCCGACATCCAGCCCGCTGCTGCTCTGAAGTGATAGGCTCTGGTGCAGTTCCCTGCCGTCAGCACACCACGCAACGGGCCCCGTAGGCCTGGTATGAAATGGGGATTACCCACTATCGGTAGTATGGGCGAGGGCATCGTGTAGAGGGCAGAGGTGGCAAATATGCCACTGGCTGCTCTCATCGTAGCCCCCACCAGCGGGTTCGTCCATTGCGACATTGGCAGAGCAGGGCGAATCCACGGTATGCCCCACAATGGAAAGGGGCAGGTCTCCTGTTCCAATGCCACCCACAACTTGTGATGTGCATTACAGCACCAATCCACCACTATAGCCAGCATGGCCGCTTTGTAGTAAATGCATGGGTCTGGGAAGTGTATGCCACCCTCCTCTCTGGACCTGGTCAGTAGCTGGTGCCGAATCCGAGCCCGTTTGTTAGCCCACACGAAAGCTAAAAAGGTCGATCTCAACTGCCTAAGGTAGGTCGCAGGGAGCGAAACCGGGAGAGTCTGGAGTAAGTACAGTAACCGAGGCAGGATCGTCATCTTTAAGATATTATTGCGTCCAAACAACGTGAATGCGGGGCGCTCCCAGGAGCGTAAGTCCGTGACGATGCGACGTTGGAGTGGGATAAAGTTAAGAGAGAAAACTCTCCGGAGATCAGATGGCAGTGACACTCCCAGATATGTAATATGAGAGTCTGCCCATTTAAAAGGAAAGGACGACTTAAGACGGCAGAGGCGCGGGTCAGGTATGGACACACTCAGGGCCTCCGATTTGGAGAAATTAATTTTAAAATCTGACAGCTTCCCGTACACTGTCAAGGCCGACATGAGGTTAGGGAGTGACACCTCCGGGTGAGTAACATATAATAGAAGGTTGTCTGCGTACGCTGCGGTCTTGTGAGTCCCAGAGCCCGCCTCCAATCCTGTAATATCAGGAGATGCTTGTATCGTTCGTTGTTAGATTTCCTGGAGTTCTTCTTTACTGCAGGTAAGCCCAAAAACCTTTACAATGCTGCTACATCATACTGATAGTATAAATTATTTAACCACTGCATTAACATTGCAAAAGTCATATACACTTAAACTATATAGTTATTTTTATAGAAGAGTTATAATAAAATGCGTATGTTACAAGCACATTTATATGTAAATATCTTGTGCAACAATGCATAAATCAGAAATTCATAAATAATATTGAAGCAAGAAAGCAATATTTTAATTGTATAGATGAGTTTGTAGAAGCGGTTGAACAGAATAAGATAATATTTTGTTATTTTGATGGTGTTTAAATGTTAATAGCTCAGTTGATATTTACTGTGCAGTGACAGACAGTATAGCCAAAAAATAGTTTAATTATTTATCCACAATGTGTTTGCAGATGACTGTGACATTTTTAATCTTTCCACCAAACTTTTATGAATAATGCAAGAATATTTCACAAGCAAAAAATGTAAGCTTTTCACTGAATACTTTGACAGAGTAAAATTCCCCAAGAAAGCGTAACCAGCACAAAAGTCTCAGTTTAGTAGAAGCTATGATAAGGTTTATATAGTTTAGTATTTTCACTGAATGTGGGGCTATATCATTAGCAGATAATGTAGTCTCACATTCAAAAGTGCATAGCAAATGTGTATACAAGAATAATTGTCTTGTAACCGAACATGTCCTGCATTCTATGAAGCTTATTCAGTAAGGTAGTGCAGATACCAGCCAATAATAATTTACTGGATTCAAATCACTGACGGGTCATTTCTGACAGGTGGCTATTGTTTATTGTTTCATGGTAAATATTGAATTTACATTTTGAAAGTTGTATTTGAAATCCTTGCTTTATGTAATTTTATTTGTCATTTTTATTTGTATGGTATTTAAAAGTTACATGCAGTTAATTACAGGTTTATATATTTCATAAATATTTAAAATACTCGTTATACTAATGCTCTCTATTTTATAAAACATACTTACTTTAAAGGTATAAAATATGTTTTATTCTGACAGAAAATGTTATTAACATTAAACGCAGACATTTGTTGGTTGCAAGTGTTCATCCACCAAATCAATTCTTAAAGGTACACTAAACTCAGGAGTTAAATCTTAAAAATGCATTTAAGTACCCTAACTATTAACAAAAATGTCAAATCATATTTGTGTATTGTGTATGTAGGTGTAGATTCTAAAATCATCTCTAAATTTGTGCTGACACTGTCCTCCCTTCTGGAGGGTGGTTACTTTTATTCCTCATGGTCCCTGTTTGTGTGTTGTAAAGTAATCACTGATCCATGCTCACTCCTGTGATGGACTACAATCTCATATTTAGTTTACTCATTTTTACTGAGATCGGAGTCCATCACAAAAGCGAGCTTGGATTTGTGGCTACTTTACAACAGACACAGGGACCATGGGAAACAAAAGTAGCCACCATCCAGAAGGAAGGACAGTGTCAGCACCAATTCAGAGATGATTTGAGGATCTACAGCTGAGTGATGCACAAATAAGCTACAAGCTAAGGTACTTGAATGCATTTTTAAGATTTAACGCCTGAGTTTAGTATCACTTTAATACAAGACATTTAAGTAAAGCTGAGTATACACTAATAGGTTTTTTTTCATTCAGCTTTTGGGCTTAATGGAAATGCTCCATTACTCCATCCACGCTGAATGCTAATAAGCCGGGTGAGAGTCCACAGACAGGGCCACCTACTGACCTAATTGTGCCCAGTTCCTCAAGAAAGAGGCACAATTTGGTCAGTGCATAGCAAGCTTAAAGCTGTGAGTGTTGGGGATACATTTCAAACATGGTTGGATGTATGTAGTTAAAAAATGATGTCCCTGATCTACAGCAAACTGCCCATTCTGTTGATGATTCCCAAGTAATTTGTACAAAGAAAAACTGAAAAACATTGTATAATCTACCCTTTTGCTATGAGTTCCCTAAATAAGTTAAATTACCACTCTTGGTAAGCTTTTAAAATGTGTGCATTTTGAGATTACATAACGGTTATGCACTTGTGTGCTGTGTTTATCAGCAAGTTTATTTTATTTTTCTGCTTTAAAGCTGTACTCCAGGCAGATTTAAAAGCCACAAATTAATGAAGCTCTGTATTAATTGATACACCAATAGATACAGTACATGTTTTTAATGCAAAGTACACAGATTTAACTTGGAATTAACCTTGTCCAACCCCAAATATAGCAGAACAGGGAGAAGAAGAAGCAGTACCAGGAGCCAAACAGTTGTGCTGCAGTGGCGATATGTTAAGATGAGAGAGGAGAGTAACAGACTTAAGCTTATCAGTCTACTGTTTCTTCTTTCACTGTTTATTCACAGGCTAGGGGAGGGACAAGATCCATGGGTGTTAGCTGTAGGCTTTGGAAATCTCAGGACTGGTTGAACAAAAATACATATTTGATGACATCTTAAAAAAACCCTCATATGTGTATTTGATCTTGGTGGTTGGCTGTTTGGCTAGAGTTCAGCTTTAAATGGTTTATTCAGTATGCATGTTTAGGATATGTATTAAATAGAGAAAAATATTTTTTTCAACATTCACCCTAAAATGGTAATTGTATAAAAATTAGCATACCATGGGGATCGAACAAAAATTTCCTTTGCAGCTAATAGATAATTGGGGTTTCCTCCAAAAAGAAAAACAAACTGAGATTTCCTCAATCTTATTAAAGTTTGTTGTGCATGCTAAATACTGTGTTGCAGTACTGTTTTAAATCTCTTAACTTTTAGACTGTGGCAACCCTAGCCAACTAATTTAACACAAGCTACTAATCCATGTTGTCAGATGAGATAGTAGTTGCAAAAATGATTGTCCATAGAGTTTTGCCCTCTAAAATTGCCCTTATCTATCTAAAATGGCATGTGACAGAGGAAACAAACAACGTATAATTACTAAAACTGAAAAAGCATCTATTTCTTTGCTGGCAGTCAGTGGTTCTGCTCTAGTCTGAACTTGTGTACAGTTTGTTGAAATCAGGCTTGTCCCCATTTTCCAGACTAGAAGAGGAGAAGAAGAAATTATACGGACTTCAAGAAGAATTAAATAATTTCCGAGTGTGGTTAGAAGATGCAGAAGAAATTGCTAGTACACAAGCAGAACAAGGAAATGAACCTCAGTTAAATGAATTACTGGAAAAAGTCAAGGTATAATTTATCTTGTGTTTTTTTTTATATGCATGTAGTTTTGTTGACTACAAGTGCTCTGTCCTTAAAATACATTCAAGCATAGCCCCAGCCCGTTTACCTCTACTTTGTGAACACAGGGCAAAGCAACAGATTCACTTTAACTTAGCCCTTCCCAGCAGCATATTCTTACCTTGCTTTCATTCTTTATATCACTCCAGTGATAACTTACACAGAGCTATGGACTCCTTGTTTAGAAGCACTTAATGGTCCAGTGCTGTCATGTCTGAGTCAGGTATTTCCTTTGGCTTCTAACTCTAAATAAAGCAGTGCAACAACAAAGGAAATTAACTTGGGATTAAAGGAAACCTGTTGCTTTCCCCTGACAAAGTTTCTGCCCTTGTGTACACTTGCCTATTCACAAAGCATAGCCTTGTGATTGCTCTGTGTGGGCACCATTAGGCCACACCCATAGTGGGGAAGCAAAAGGCTCTGTCTTGTCTGTTACCAGAACTGTTGTCTCTACTGTCAATAAAGTTTTCAAATTAAATGTATTTTGTTTCAACAGTTTAAAGTGGGTGAACTTCAGCCACACAAGGAGGTGTTGAAACAACTGAATGAAGCTGGAGGAACAGCTATAGTAAGTGCCACAATAGCTCCTGAAGAAAAACGAAAGATTGAATGTGGCCTCAAGGAGGCTAATCAGCGCTGGATAAAGGTCAGTAGATCAATTTTTCAGTAGATACTATATTTTATATAATAAAGCTGTATAATATCCTGGAACAATTTTCCTGCATATGATTTTTTGAAAGCTTTGATAAAGATATAATTATATTGAGCACTTCCAACTAACTTTAATAGCAGTAAGCTTACAGGTAATTCTATCCAAATATGATATTTGAGTTAAAGGTGGAGACTTGTGTGGTGCTCAGTGATGATTAAAAGTTTTAATATCCTGCAGAATCAGCTGTTACCCTTAGCACTGGTCCTGATCTACTGTTTTAGGGCGGATTCTTTCCCATGTAGGTTCCTATGGAGCCACCATTGTGTATGTTAGTAAGCTGTGTGTGTCTCCTCGAACACAGAGACACAGCCATTCCCCCGCTCCCCACTCCTCCAAGCTAGTAGATGGATGGCTGCAGGAGATTAATCTGCCCCTTGTGATCTTGTACTGGACAGGAAGTTCAGGGAAGCAGAGTTGAGAGAGTTGGAGCCATAATGCTGTAAGTGCTTGGGCAAAAATGTAAAGAAATACTTTGCTGGCCAATGTATATTTGTTTGATCTGGATTAATTATTGGAAAAAAGTTCCAGGTTTATTGCTACTTTGACATTGCTAGGATTAGGGTCATGTATTAGGGGATTAAGTTAAAATATTAAAGTTATAGTGAGGGGTAGTGTTATATTTTTGTATTTTAGCATTAAGTAAGGAGTTTATTTAAAGGTTGTGTTAGGGTTTAAGGATTAGGTTAGTTGTTAAGCGCTAGGGCTCGTTCAGTCCAACAGCATTGTCCAAAACAGTTCTAATGCAAGAACAAAGTAATTTGTCTTATATCCTTCACTACATAAAAACACACTGCACTGGAGTGTACTGCAAAATTAAGTAGAACATGTTGCACTTTTGCTTAGTGTAGCACATTCCGATGCACTGTAACACATTTTAACAATGCATTTTAGCATGCGTTAACCAAACACGTGCTGTGTGGTGTGAATGAACCCTAAATCTTCACGGGTAGATAAGGGTTTTACTTGATGAGGACATTAAATTACTGATAACCCAGATATTTAAGTTTTCAGTTTTAGATTTCATTGGGGCTAAAAGTTGCTGTGCCAAAATATAAGGCACCTATTAGGAATGCCTGAAAAATAATGTGCTGCTTAATTGAATCCCTAGAAGATGCTAATTAAAGCTGTAAAGCTATAGCATACATTAACACATGTATCTGAGTTATTGGAAGTTCAGTCATTGTTAAAGCAACATTCTTATTTATTTCTTCCTAGTGTATAATAATGTTTTCAGTCTGGGCTGGTAAGTTACTTATGTCAACTTCTATGGTTTATCTAGTTGACTATTGCTTAGTTCTGATTATTTATTATTTTGCCATAGTTCTCTGTGGGATCACAGGAGGACATTTGTCCTCCTGTGACCTAAAACTCAGCATAATGCTGATGGCGCAGAACTGCTCTGCAGCCGGGATGGATTCCGACAATATTGTCAGGATTCACCCTGCTGCCTGAGTGTTAGCTGGCTCTGCCTGTCCCCTCCTCCATTCATCCCTCCAGTCAGTGCTGGAGGAACAGAGTGGGGAGGGGGGAATCCCAATGGGGAGCGGTGATTGACAGTTATCAATCTCTGCAGTAGAGGATTAGGAACTGAGCGATCGGTGGTATGTGATCGCTCAGTTCTCGATCTATAGAGCCAATGTGCCACAGCTTCCGTGCCACATGTCAGCTCTAATTATGGGGCTGGGTGTATTTCACTCTCCTCATAATTCTCCTTTCAGTATCTCAGCTGAACTATCATATCTACAAATATAATTCAAGAACAGAAGAAACATCACCTGAAATGGATTGCACTTGAGTTACGATCAACTCAAGCTTCACTAACTATCATTCTATACCATAACGGTTTAGAATCCACATTCAATGAGCATTTACAAGTTATAACAAATGGAATCCAAGTTAATAATAAAAGAAACCTCAGATGAGAAAGACATAATATATTATGTTAAGATCACTGGGCGCTGCGCATGAGTGGGGGTGGGGAGGGACATCTTAAAATGCCCATCTGCATCTACAAGGCTCCCAGCCAGCCATTTAGGTACGGCCAATGGACAGGAGGTGGTTTAGTGAAGATGTAATATTTATTTAAAATTAAAAGAGAACAATTGGGTAAGTGTTTTTTCCCATAGTTATCTTTAGGGTCACGAGAGGAGATATACTAATGTCCTCCCATGACCCAAAGCTCAGTATATAGCGGGCTATTGCCTGAGATATACTGGGAGTGGCACAGCCGGAACAGATCTCGACAATACTATCGAGATCCACCCAGCTGCATGAGTGACAGCTGGCTCTACCTATCTAGAAGCAGAGCCAGCTATGCCCACCCCCTCCCCCTTTTGTTCCTCCACTCAGCACTGGAGGATCTTGAGGAAAGGGGGAATCCCTGCGGAGAGCGGTGACTGACAGTCACCACTCACTGCAGGGAGATGATCGGGAAGTGAGAGGATCGGCTGCATGTTTCTGCTCACTTCCCGATCAATAGAGCCGACCTGTGCTTCTTCATTGTTTACCTCATAGTTCTCCTTTAACTATACTGTCATATGAAAATCAAATCCCTGTTTAATTCTTGTGCATGATGAAAGAGTATGTCTATATTGCCAAAAGTATTGGGACACCTGCCTTTAAACGCATATGAACCTTTAAGGCATCCCAGTCTTAGTTCGTAGGGTGCAATATTGAGTTGGCCCACCCTTAGCCCCTATAACAGCTTCAACTCTTCTGGGAAGGCTGCCATCAAGGTTTAGGAGTGTGCATATGGGAATGTTTTACCATTCTACCAGAAGCGCATTTGTGAGGTCAGCTACTGATGTTGGATAAGAAGGCCTAGCTCACAGTATGCTGATGCCTTAAGAGCTCCCTTCACTGGAACTAAGGGGCCAAGCCCAACCCCTGAAAAACAACCTCACACCATAATCCCCCTTCCACCAAACTTTACACTTGGCAAAATGCAGTCAGGCAAGTACCATTCTCCTGGCAACCGCCAAACCTAGACATGCCCATCGGATCGCCAGACAGAGAAGTGTGATTCGTCACTCCAGAGAACACGTCTCTATTTCTCTAGAGTCCAGTGGTGGCGTGCTTTATATCACTGCATCCGACACTTTGCATTGCACTTGGTGATGTAAGGTTTGGATGCAGCTGCTTGGCCATTGAAACCCATTCCATGAAGCTCTCTATGCACTGTTATTGTGCCAATCTGAAGGCCACATGAAGTTTCGAGGTCTGCAGTTATTGACTCTGCAGACAGTTGGCAACTTAGCATGCGCTGACCCCGCTATGTCATTTTACGTGGCCTACCACTTTGTGGCTGAGTTGCTGTTGTTCCCAGTTGCTTCCACTTTGTTTTATACTTCTAATAACAGTTGACCGTGGAATATTTAGTAGCAAGGAAATTTCACGGGTGGACTTATTGCACAGGTGGCAACCTATCACGATACCACGCTTGAATTCACCGTGCTCCTGAGAGCCACGCATTCTTTCACACATGTTTTTAGAAGCATGCCTACGTGCTTGATTTTATACACCTGTGGCCATGGAGGTAATTGGAACACCTGAATTCAATGATTTGAAGGGGTGTCCCAATATTTTTGGCAATATAGTGTGTATATATATATATATATATATATACAGTATATATACACTGCATGTGTGTGTATATGTATATATTTTTTTATTTTTTTTAAATATTTTCTCAATACAAGGGGGTCTGGTAAAAATTAAAATCCACTTTTCTATTCCTCTCTACTATAAATCAAAGGTGAGCAGGGATAAGCTGTCATCAAGAGGTCCTACTTAATTGGGATACACCAAACATAAATTGAATAGTGGAAGCAAAGGATTTGATCATTTGTTTCCAGAATTCTATTTATAAACTACCCCCTGATTATGAAACATCCATAAAATCATGTTTGTCACCAAAATATTTGGGTTGCAAACCTGGCCTGCTTCACACTCTCTCTCTCTAAAATGTAAAATGCTTTATGTTTGTGGCTTTGACCATATGGTGAATTCCTCCATAAATGCTTAAGAAAGGATGTGCTTTAAATGTATTTCTTTACAGTAAATTGCCTTGCTCAAGTGAAACTGATTAAACATCCACATTGCTGTTTCCTTGTTTGACCTGAAAACCTTGTGAAAAATTGTACAAAAAAAATCCAGTTTTCTGTAGCAATTTACAGTACATTATGCATCTTCTAAACTGGAGATATGGAGTAGAATACATAAACACATAACTGTGTTATGCCAACGACTCAGACAAAAGTCATCAAGATTAAATAAGTTTAAAAATACAAGCAAATAAAAAGAAATGTGTTATGTTGATGAGAAAAACATCTTTTCATTGGGCTCACAGCTGCAGGCTGATTACCCCCGACAGCATGGCTTCCGTTAGTTCATCAAAGTGGGGTGGTTTCTCACAGATGCTGTAAACCGTTTAATGGTCTCTAATTAAAATTAATCATTCTTCCTAAAATGATATTTGCAAGTACAAAAGGTATTTTCATTTTCAATGTGAAAACCATGAAGCAGTAAATTACGCAAGAAAAGTTATTGTACGGCAGATGACAGAATTGTCCAGTTTTTTTTAGGGGGGGGGGGGTTGATGGTGGAGAAATATGTCATCTGAGTGTTGACCTTGCAGATGACATACTTAAACCTGCTGCCTCCTGCTATGGTATGCCCTTTACTTTTACAGAATAGTGGCCTACAGCAATAATGACAAAAGTCACGGTAAAGAATAAATGTGGAAAAAAATATACAGGAGGACTGTCTGGGTTTTTTTAAAAACTTTTGTCTTGTAGTCACCTAACAGACTGAGAAATTTCAAATGAATAGCCCATTTTTCAGTTGAAGTTTGTTTAAAACTTAGTTTTACACTAAGTAATATATGTGTATATATATATAT